TTTGTATTTTTTTTAATAATAAAAAAATGCAACGCTTAAGCCGTTCGATTGCGCCCCTAAGTCAGCCGGGCCCCTGTGCTATAGCACAATTAGCACATGGGATAAGTAGGCACTGGATAGATCTATATACTTCTTTCTTTGATATAGACGTATAGTCAAACACATTTTAGAGCACACTTTTTTGCACTGTGTTGAGAACGGTTTGCATCCTTTATCATTCTACACATCATTCTACGTTGAACCATAAAGCGAACTAAGGTGATCGTTTTGTGATACATACGGCTATGAATAAGTATAGCTTATATTGACTTGTGCATAACGAGTCGTCCAGATTAAATTGCCAATCTTTGCAAGACTTGTTTCTCAGATTAAGCTTGATCCAAAAGTTTCATTTAGATTCTAAAGGATAGAGAATTTTGCCTAGATGTTAGTCATATATTCCTTTTGAAATAAATACTGGCCATTTTTCTGAAGCATTAGAAATGCTGAAAGCCATAAAAAACAGAGTTGCTCAGCACTTTGTATAGAATAAAGTGGAATTTTTGGTATTCAAACTAGTTTTGTTGAGCAATTCAAACAAGACATTAAAAACTAAAATAAAGTCTTAATAATTCAGATACAAAACTAAATTTTGGGACGATGTTTAACGATTATCGAAATCGGTTACAAAATATGCCTCTTTATCAGGCTTTTGTTGCCTTTCATTGTATAAGGAAAATATCGCAATTTCGTCATGTATTATGACAGATAGTAAACCCATGAGAAGAATGACGTCTGCTAGACGTTGAAATTCTGCTTCTGCTCATATTAACAAAATAGTTTTTGTTCGTGAATTTTTGCAAAATACCGTCAAAAATCTCAAGATGTTTTTCAATGTTTTGAATATTAGAAAGCGGGAACAAACATACCATCAGATACGCCAAGAAATTCTGTATATTTTATTACTATAACTAAATTTTACTATAACCAACACTTATCTAACTAAACAAAAATTTGTTTTCAAAACTTTCTAATTCTTCAGCTGAACAACCCTGTTTTTCATGGCTCTAGTGCTTTTTTCTAGTGCTGTAGAAAAACGGCCAATATTTATTTCAAAAGGAATATATGACTAACATCTAGGCAAAATTCTCTATCCTGTAGTATTCAAACGAAATTTTTTGATCAAGCTTAACCTGAGAAAAAAAGCCTTGCAATTTAATCCGGACCATCCGTTAGTGAATATTAAATGTGATGTTGAGAAAAACCTCTGCAGAAAAAATGTCAATGCTGCATTGATAAAAATAAAAAGTTGAGCAAAGCCATTGAGTACTACATATCATGTCTCAGTGATACTGATTGGTATTGTTGTTCACTAATGCCTAATGAGTGTCAATAAGTAAAAAGTTTTTGTACTTCATTTTCTTAAAACATGTTTTTACATTTTTCTGTTGATAATTATCATAAAAGCCAAATAACAGACAGAAGAGTAGTAGGATATTTTCATAATTCATGATGAGCAGGATGATAACTATTTAACCATATGATAATTATTTCTTGAGCTACAGTATCGTACATATTGTATATTGTACGGTAGTTCAAAATTGTTGCAATATTTGTATAGATATCGCCATTTTTTATACCAACAACAAATATGATTGACTGAATTTAATCATGATGTTTCAACTGGATCTGGCAATGAATGGGATTAGACTAGTTTTCCACAAATTAATATTGTACAATCATTTTCTTTTTATTCTTGTTTCCTTTCCTCTCATTTTCTATTAAAGAAATAGAAAAAAAGAGAAATCAAACGACCATTTGTTATTTTGGCTTTTTCCACAAATTTGTTCTATTTACAATTTGTTTGTAATCTTATACTTATCTTAAAATGATTGAATGATGAAAATGCATTGCTACTAAAACAATTAATCCACTCTTGGGTACTCATTATTAACGAATGTGATGTAGGAACAGCCGTTTCAAAAATATTCCATGGAATTGGAGTTGCATATTTGATAACATCTTGAGACAATGTTAGTGTATATTTGTTACTATTGGTACTTGATTCACTTCGAAATCTAGATATTTTATTTTCTGATATTAATTCATTAAGTTCAGTTTTCGTATTACAAATTCGCAGTGGTAGCCAGTGTCTGCGCATCATTTTGTTTAGAATATGGTTCTTTTATTGTTTACATATCGATGTGTAAATGTGAAGAAGCGTGCGTATGAGAAATTCTACTTTAGAACTGTACATACACAGCGAAAAAATATCTTTCAATGGCGTTCTCTTTTCAGTCCCGTTCTCTAAACGGTGTAAAAATTAAATAATTCGTACTCCGTTCTCCATTCAGTCCAAAATCCATTCTCTTTTCATACTTTTTTCATTATTACAACGATATTCAGAGATCAACTACTCATTTGGTTGTTCGCTTTTGAGAGATACAGATTTTAGTATGTTTGTCAGTGCATTACTAAAAACATCAGCACGTTATCGACCATTTTATATGTTGAAAATATCATAAAACTGTCGGACATGATGATTTGTTTTATCTCATATTTGTTTTCTGTATGCAAAGAAAAGCAATCTAGACGATTATTCTTAGTATAATGCAAAGTAGTAAGCAAAAGTGTTAATCAATTAAATCAAATTCGGACAACATCAATCAATTTTCAAACAACTTTGACTATTCAAGAATTTTTATCAAGGATGGCAGCTTATCTCGTTATTCCCAGTGCTTTTCAGTTCTCTTTGTTCTTATCATCGCACATTTCACCAAAGCGGTAAAACATAAGAATAACGGATCATTTTCACACATAGGTTGCTAATAAACTCTCATGGTGACGATATGTGATACATAATCAGTAGATAAAAGAAAACAAACCGTACGCAGTTATGTATAAATGCATCTACTCAGTTGAGGCAAGACTTTCTTCATTTTCTACACAAATCTCTATACTAAAGTATCAGGAGAACCCACGTAACCCTAGAAAGTTCTTATTACTTTCAACTAAACATAGCGTAAGCTAAAGAACTTATAGTTTTTCCAAAATCAAGTATCAACAGCACCTATATGTTGTCCATTGAACTAGGAGAAGTGATAGTTCATCAAAATCATAATATCTCATTTGATTCACGTATGAATTGCCTCTTTATTTATTTATTTAGTTATTGTTTCAAATATAAATAGAATTTCTTAATGTTTTTCACAGAGAAGGACATAAAAGATATAGAAGAAAATGAACGGGAAAGCAGCAAAAAAAGATCCTCTCATCATACAATACAAGAAGAAAAAAAAACAACGACAATAAATGAATAAACAAAAAATTCCAACAACTCTATCTTCATCTGACATCCGCGCGCACTGACCATAAAATATAATGAAATTAGCATAAATGAATGAACAATAAATGTCTACTGTTTGTGTTTGAAATGTAGATAAAGAGTGAAAGAGTATTTTTTTTTTCCAAAACAAAACAAGCTGGCTATCGGTAACCATACATCATCACATGCACATAAGAACAAGCCATTTTCGCACAAAAAAAAAACTGAATGGTAGTAGTTATACTAGATGTTTATTGTCAAAAAACAAGGTGGGAATCTTGATAGTGATCATGGAAATGAATAAAGTATTTAGAGACGAACGTTTCACCGTCTTTGAGAAAATATAAAAAAAAATGATTAATAAAATTGTATCTAGTTTTTGAAAGCGAGACAAAGAGAGAGAGAGAGAGAGAAAGAGAGAGAAAAAAAGTTTTTATTACAAGGTATGCACAGCTCGCGTCCTCAATACAGGCGTCAGATACCTATCAGAAATATGCAAAGAATTTTAGTATTTTTTGGGGAAAATTAGCTAATACAATTTGTCTATCTCGCTCGTAACAAACACTGATATCTACTGGACGCAATCGAAGGCTCTCTTGGAAAAATCGCTTTCGTTCATAAGTGTCTCACAAGAAGCAACGTCTAATTACCCTTTAAGTATTCTAAGACAAAAAGGGAAAAATCTCTGCTTGTAAACAAAAGAAAAAAGAAGGAATACGTTGTAATATACGATTTTAGACGTTTTTACATTATAAAAGACGTGAGTCAAAAAATTCAAGAACGTCATTCAGTCGTCAAGAAAGATTGCTCCGCTTTTATTCTTGTTGAATCAGAATAATATTGAAAATGAGATGGAAAAATCACAACTATGAAGGAGTTCTTTGCTTTTGCTACTCATTCAATTATCATACAAATTAAATTTTTTATAGTTATTTTTAACTTTTTCATTTATCTCTCTCTATTTTTCTTATCGTATTCGGTATATAAAAACGACAACAAAAAAAAACAACAAAAACCCGGGTAATTCCAAAAACAAACGAGGCAAACGACCGATATATATATATATTCTTAACCAACAATTGCGTCGCACAAGAATAACAACGAACAAGCTTTAAGATTTAGTCGTTCACACAAAAAAAAAAAACGAAAACAAAAATAAAATATAAATTTGTCTAAAACAACACATACGCACACATGGACTAGAAATACTACGAGAGAGAAATAGAGAGAGAGAGAGAGAGAAAAAAAACAGAGAGATCAATATAAAAGATGTCTGTGTGTGTGTGTGTGTCTTTTTTTATTTTTATTTAGACGGTGGATTAGTCTCTCTCGCGCTAAAGATAACGTTTTGTTCATATGGGAAGAGAGGAAATGATTTCTAGACTACGCGATTACAACAACGATAATAATAATAATAATAAATGACTCAGAGAACGAACAAAAACAAACATGACACAACACCAAAAGAAAGCCAGAGATCAACAGTTGTCTAACAAACTCGATTATTATTTCGTTTGATAAAAACAGATGAGCATTTGTCTTGATAACTCATTTCATATATATATATATTGATTGGCAACTCGTATATATATTGTTTAAAAAGCAAACCAAAAAGAACGACGGATGAAGAGTAGAAAAAGAACGCAAAGTGAAAAGAAAAAAATAATAATAATACATTAATTTCATGCGTATAATTTTATGACCCTTCTTCATCTTTAGTTGCATTCGTAGTTGTCATTATTTTTTGTCGGATTTCTCGAATACGTAAAGTTAAATCACGTTTTTTGGGAAATAAATCGACATTTTGAAGTTGAAACGATAAAATTGTTGAATCTAAACGAGAATAAACGAACAAAATAGTATATTCTCATAAAAACGGTCTAATAGAACAATGTATTATTAGAATTCAAACGTCTTTAAACATTTTGTACTAATTATCGCCTTTGAAGTTATAGCTACTAGCATTAATTAGTCTATTCAGTAAAGGAATGCAAGGCACATATTTTTTTATCTATGAAAAAGATTTTCAGCAAAAAATCCTATACAAAATAGACGTTGTGACAATGTTTCTAAATTCTTACCTGATGGATATAAATGATCTTTTAATAATTCAATAACCTTTAGACGAGCTGATAATTGATTTCTTGTATTAACTGTGGACGATGATACAATTGTAGATGAATTTGAACGTAAAGAATTTGCATTTATCAGCTGATTTTTCATATCTAGAATAAATAGACAAACAAAAAAGTACTTGTTAGTTTTTTTATTTTCATTGAATTTTTTATCAATCTTTTACCTTCTAATTGATTTGTAAAATCAGATGTACTACGCGTCGTTATTGTTTGTTGATATTGAATAGCTGGTAATGACTGTTGTTGTTGAACAATGACTCTTTCATTAGTCGATGGAACATCCGTATCTATTGTCACTATTTTACGTTTACGCTGTCTCAAATTAATTGTGTCTGTGATGAAATTATTATGATTTATTGAAGGTGGCCGTGGTTCATTATGAGTTAAAATATTTGATGTTTTTATTTTTAAATTATTATTGCCAATCATAATGTCCGTTGATATACGCTCACTAAAATTAGATGCATAATATTAGTCTCTGTAACCAAATTTAAATATTATACAACAGTTCTTCTGTTTTGAGGTTACAAATGTGTGTATACACACAAAACGAAGAATCGAGGCTCATATTCAAATCTATAAAGTGTACATCTTATAATCTAAAACTTACCTATTGCTTCTTGAACGTGTAGTAGGACGTTGAATAGGTTCCATTTTCTGTGTGTAGAAAAACAAGAAATAGATATATATTTTCTTTTCTTGAATATATGTTAAATTTTGTTACCTCAACTTTTCGACGTTTAACACTATTGTTGTTTACTTTTTCTTGTTCCAATGATGATTGTGAAAATGTTTCAATCACTTGTTGTTTTTCATTGCTATTTTTCCGTCGTCTCAATGACGATGAACGTGTTTCAATAGTTATTGTTGGTTTTACCTTTGAAGCAAACTGTTCGGACGATGTTTGAAGATTTTCATGAACTTCTGATTGATTATTCGACGTTGGTAAATGTGATGATATCCATGAACTATTGCACTGTTGATTATTTTTATCAGATCTAGATCAAAAATAAACGATGTTTTAGAGGTAAAGTGTAAAATGTTTTTGGTATTAAACGATCAGTCAAAACGATGTACAATCTAATTGGTTGTCTGAAGGTTCAGTCTGATATTTTAAACTATGATTTACATACATTTGATATAATCTTTGTTCATTTATTTGTGTGTGAGTATCAGTTGATGTTGTTGGAACAGGTGATTGTGATGTTGAGCATTGCTGACTCAATAGAATTTGTTGAACAAAATCTTTAGCACCTGATTTAAACTGTTCTTCTAATACCTTATGAACACTTGGATCTCTGATGGTTGATAAAAGAGTACTAAATTGTTTCTTAAACATTTCTGGTATTGACATACCACTTTTACATTTATCATCGCCGACAAAATAACCACCATTTGTAACAAGACAGTTACTAGTTTCATCATCGATAAAATCTTTTGATACTGTGCCAGTTATAATTGATTGTTGTTGTTCATCATGAGTTATTTGTAATTGTTTATGATGTTGATGTTTTATTGATTCAGGAGGTGGAGTTTTTAGTTCACCCAACGAACTATTTGACCTCGAACTATAACTGCTGGTAGCTTCTAATGAACAAGAGCTAGAACTACTTGAACTAGAACCCGATGAATAACCGGTTGAACGATCGGATGATAGGGATGAATGATTGCTTCCTATTGTAGATGCTGGTGATGGAAGAAATGATTGATAAACTAAAAAGGAAAAAGGAGCAAGAGTGATAACTAATATAACGTTTCTATGCTAAATGAAATTTATTCAGTAGAAAGTTTTCATAGAGCCCGTTAATGTTACTCCTACAATATAATCAAAATTCACATGTGACTCTCATGCAAGCGACATTGTTCTAGTGGGACAATTATACTTCCTAATAACTTAACTACTTACCATGATTATTTGGGAAAAAGTTAAGAAATGGTTGTTGATATTGTTGGTCATCTTTTATTTTTTTCGTTATGTGTAACAAATGAGTATCATAATTAAGAGTTGATTGTGTATTTTGTTGTGATTCGTCAGTCTGATGGTAATGATCTACTAATGATGGTTTTTTCAATGGTATCGTTGACTTAATAGGTGGAGTAAAGATTTTACTGTTCGCTACTAAAACTGTAGCAGATGAAGGAATACATTCTAAATAGAAAGCACAGTCAAATCAAATTGAACACATCCGATAATACGATCTTACATTAATAGAATGAGTTTTGTACAAGTTAATATAAAAATCAAAAGTTGTTTATCGAATATTTACCTTTTATTGCTGCAGACGTAACAGTGTCCGATTCTATCGCTGATGATTGTGATGTCGTTGCGGCAGACGTTGCATTACCACCATTCTGTAATTGCTTTAATCTTTCTTCTAATAATTGATTTTTTTTATATTGTTCCAATAGTAAATTAAACATGACTTCATCATTTATTTTTGTACCACCATTTTCATCATTACCATTTGGTGACACTTGTCTCGTTGTGGGTAACGAAGATGTTGATGAATTTAATCGTTTTCCAATTGTTGGTGTAAACGTCATTGGAGGTGAATGAGAATGTTCAAGTGAACTGAAATCACTATTCTGAAATTTACGAGGTGGTACAGCAGGTTCAACAAAAGAAAATTGTTGATTTGATGATGCTTGGGTTTCATATGATGGAACATATTGACTAAATGACGGTGATGATGG